TGGTAAATTCTTACAGGCTTTGTTTATCTGAGAATATTTTTAACTCTTCTTCCCATATGAAGGATAATCTTGCCAGGCATAGTAATCTTGATGGAAATTGTTTTTCATTTAACATTTTGAATGCATTTCCCCATCCTTTCCTTGCCTGCACTGTTTCCAAGGAGAGGTCTAATGTTAACCTGATAGGATAACCTTTGTAAGTAACTTGACATTTCTCTCTTGCCAATTTTAGTATCTTATCTTTTGACTATGGTTTTGGCCAATCTGGCTATGATGTGCCTTGGAAAGGATCATTTTGGGTGGATTCTATCTGGGATCCTTTGTAGTTTTCGTGTCTGCATTTTTGAATGCCTTTCAAGGTTTGGAAAGTTTTATTTTAGGATTTCATGGAATAGATTATGAATGCCCTTATTATTTCCTTCGCCTTCTGGGATACCAATGATGCACTTCATGGCATCTAGTATTTCTCATATATTGTCCTCATTCTTCTGGGTTATTTTCTCAGTCTTTTTGATAATTATTTCTAGGTCAGCGGTTTTGTCTTCTACATTTGAGATTCGATCTTCTGCGTGATCTAACCTGCTTTTAAAACCTTTGAGGGAGGTTTTGATTTCCTGTATTACAGTCTTCATCTCTAAGAATCCCATCTGATTCTTTTTTATAGTGTCTATTTCTTCTTTCAAATCATAAAAGGACTTCATCTCTTGAAGCTCATTGTTTCTTTTCTCTTGCACCTCATTTAGTTTTGTCACTACATATTCTAAATTGTTTATCTGGCATTTCTGCAAGTTCCTCAATATTGTCTGTGGCTGATGAAGAATTGGTATTTTTCTCTTGGAGGAGAGATATTTTCTTGGTTTCTCATATTTCTTATGCCCGGTTTCTAGTCATCGGGTGAATTACACATTTCCTCCTAAATTCTTTTTCTTTTTTTGGAGAGGTTTACGCTATAGGGCGCATGCACTCACCAGACAGACAGAGAGAGACAGAGAGACAGAAAGCGAGAAATCACCCCCCAGGGGGGATGGCCACGCTGCAATCCCTTCTCCTCTATTTTCCTCTCAGGATCTTGGGCACGCACGCACACGCGCCTGGTGTGAGTTTTAAGCCACTGGGTCCGGGACGCGAACCCCAGTTGACTACGTGGGAGTCCAGCGACATAGCCATTACGCTAACTGCTGGTCCCTAAATTCTAAAAACTAATATATATGTATGTGTATATATATATATGTGTGTGTGTGTGTGTGTATAAAATTTTATTTTATGTTAGGGTGCATGTGTACAAAGGAGAAACAAAGAGGGAAAATGAGAAAACACCTCCCGGGGGGATGACCACACCATGATCCCTTCTCCATTCTCCTTTTAGGATTTAGGGCATGCACACACATCTCTGGCATGTTTCTTCAAGCCCCGAGTCTGGGACTCAAGTCACTCAGTTAGCCATGTGGGATCTAGCCACAGAGCTTTAACCTTCACACAATCTGCTGGCTCCTAAAAAATTTAAAAAGGCATGTACCTGTGAAGATTTTAAAAAAGATCCCATTTATTTCAAAATATAGCTGAGAGGCAGTTAAGAAAACTGAACTTGGGGCCAGCAGGCAGTGTGGTAGTTAAAGCATTAGAATCCCACCTGGCCCGTTCTGTGGTTTGTCTCAGACCTGGCAGCGTGAGATTCACATCAGGTGCATGTGTACACATGCCCAAATTCCCAAGAGTAGAATGGAGGAGAAGGGACTGTAGTGTGGCCATCCCCACCTGGGGGTGTGATTTCTCCTTCCTTTTCTCTTTTTCTGTCTTTCTCAGTGAGCACAGTGCCCTATGACAAAAACTTAAAATAAATAAATAAATAAATAATTTTAAACTGAACACAGGCACACTGAAGGTGGCCCACCCTGGACTATGCACCTATCCTTGTCTCTAGGCAAGTCTGATCCCTTTCTCCCCCAAAGTGCAGGGGAAGACTTTACTGTGATATGCTGTTATCGTCCTTAGCTCTGACCTGCCGGAGAAGAAGACAAATGCCTTTGTTCCTCGCCCTCTAGTTTCACTAAGCTCATCACAGCAACAATGTCAATACCCCCGAAAAGTCTGTCAGGAGCTATTGTCCATCTCCCAAGCCCATGGAGAACTATTTATTTCCCTACCTCAGCTGCAACTCTTGCCTTTAAACTCACCCTGAAATCTGTAAGACATCACCCAGGGCGACCTGGACATTGTGGTATCAAATCGACCTATGCCCTGGCTTCACTTACGAAGCCTCAGCCTTTTTATGGACAAACACAACCCTGGATGGCTCCAGTTGCCTCCTCCTTTACCGTTGGACCCCCTCTGCACACCACTCCAGCCATCCCTCCCCTGGATCTGGAGTGTCCCTTCGCCTGGTGGAAAGCTCCTCCCCATCCCCACCCGGCTTGCCATCTATCAGTTTCTCAGCCCCTGCACCATGAACTACCAACATTCTGGGCTGGATAATGCTGTGGGGTGGGGAGTTTGCCTGGTGCATTATGGGGTGTTTAGGAGCATCTTTGGTTCTACCCACTAGAGGCTAATAGCACTTCCTTGATCCACCTTCCCAGGTGTGACAATAAATAATCCTCTGAGGGCCAACAGATGGCATAGTGGGTAAGGTGCTGGACTCCCATATGGCCGACAATGGATGGCTTGAAAATCACGCCTAGTGCATGTGCATGCATGCCTAAAATCCCAGGAGAAGAAGGGATTTCTCACTTTCCCTTTCTCTGTCTCTCTCAAGAGTGCACATGCCCTGGGACCATCAGTTAGTGTAATGGCTATGTCACTGGACACCCATGTAGTCGACCGCAGTTTGTGTCCCAGACCCGATGGCTTAAAACTCACTCCGGGCACGTATGCATGTGTGCTCAAGATCCCAAGAGGAGAATGGAGGAGAAGGGATTGTGGCATGGCCACCTCCCCCGGAGGGTGATTTCTTGCTGTCTCTGTCTCTCTCTATCTGGTGAGCACACGCACCCTATAGTAAAAACCTCCCCCCTCAAAAAAAAAAAAAAAAGAGTGTACATGCCCTATAGCAAAAAAAAAAAAAAAAAAAAAAAAAACCCTTAAAAAAAAAAAAAAAAAAAAGCCTTTAAAAAAATGGCCTTCTAGGGGCCATATCTGTAGCACAGGTGTTAGGCTCTGCTCAGCTGTTAGCCAGATCCTATGTGGTCAACAGGGTTCAAGTCCCTGGGCCCCCTCAGCTTCAAAAACAAGCTGGGGACATGCATACATACCCAGGATCCTGGCAGGATGAAAAAACTGGGGGGAAAAAAAAAAAAGATTGCAACATTATCAGGCTCCTTGAAGAGGAGATGCATTCTCTCTCTCTCTCTCTTGTACACATACATGCACTCTCTAAGCACTTAAAAAAAAAAAAAAAGACACAAGTCAAGATTTTAAAAATGCCTCTGAAGCCAGAAAGTGACTCAGTGGTTTAAAAAAAGCTCTACATGCTGCCAGGCAGGAATCCGGTTTCTTTGATCACTTATTTTCTGTGTGACCTCAAGCCAATTACCTGGCCTCTCTGAGCCTCCATTTCCTCATCTGTGAAAAAAAAAAATAATATCTCCTGTCCCAGAAATGCTGAGGGGCTGGTATACATGATGCCTGGCCCACAGGGATAGATAAATGTTAGCTCTTATTATTAATAAATGTCCTGAACCAGAAAGTGGTATACTGGTTCCATTGCTGGGCCCCACATGGCCAACCATGGTTTAAGTTCTGGGCCTGGTGACTTGAAAATCACACCAGGCACATGTGCGTGCATGCATGCTCGAGATCTGAGGAGAATGGAAGAGAAAGGATTGTGGCATAGCCATCCCCCCAGGAGAAGACTTCTCACTTTCCTTCTCACAGTCTCTGTCTCTGTCTCTCTCTCTCTTTCCAGAAGTGTATGCACCCTAAGGCAAAATACTAAAAACAAAACAAAACAAAACAAAAAACCAGTCCTAAAGTGTAGTCATCGCTTCCAGAAGAGTCTGTCCAGGGTATGGCAGGAGCCACTTGCAGCACCAGAAGTTCTCCCACGTTTTCATTTTCAGGAAGGTTGATCAGCAAAGCCTTCAGAGAGGAGTGACCCCTGACGTAGGTCTTGACAGATGAGGCAGCGTGTGCCAGGCAGCCAGTGCCTGGCTCCCAGAAAGGGTTTACAGAATGCACAAATGACACAGAGACCACATGGGACAGAGTTTGGCAAGCAGAAGTCACAAGTCTGCTGACAAAGACACAGCCTTTCTTACAACCACGGGCTCTTAAAACTGCTCCCTGCAGACTCTCTGCAGGACACGTGCACACCCACCCACCCTAAGCATCTCCCACTCAGTGGTTTGAACAACCTTTAATAGAAACTCTCCTGTTTGTCTGTCTATCCTTCTCCATAGAGGCCTCCAGGACAGACTGACCCAGTGCAGTGTGTGGACATGTCAGCCCCCTTACTTGGTCAGGGCCAAGTAGAGGATGGAGCTGTGGCTTAGAAGCCTTTCCTAGCTCCCAGGAGGTCTGCAGAGTTGCTGTCTTCAAGGGACAGCCGTTTGCTCTCATGACAGGAGCCGTGGAGGAAGGGGTATCAGTGATCTCGGGCTCAGGGTAGGAACTTGAGCTTGATTCGGTCTCTGTGACTATCCCAAAACTTGAAGCAGAAGTCCCTGGGGCTGCAACACTGCCCAGAAGCAGCTCTGGGGTTTGACTTCGCACCCCTACAGTCTCTAGGCAGCTCAGGTAAGCCCATTTTGTTTGTGGAAGAAGCAGAGGACGGGGACTCAGTTTTTCAGGAAGAATGAGTCTCTAGAAAGCAATGAAAGTGAACAGCATTGCCCGGGGCTGGGTCCAAAGCACCACAGAGAGCCCAGCCACCTGTGGAGGTCGCTGCGTCCTGGCCCAGTCTCTCCAACTGGTGGCTCCAAAAGCAATGGGGAGTCAAGAGCCTGGAGGTTGGACCAGGTCCCTGGGATCCTGAGCCCCAGGGGCTGCTGGGCAGTGGTTGTCAGCAAAGAAGAACGGTCCGAAGGGCCAGGCCTGGCCTATTAGGGATCGACGAAGGAGACAGCGATGTAGCGGGTGCCTTTGGTGGTGGGGAGCCCCTCGTGGTAGTGCGTGAGCCGCCCAGGGTGCATGAGCGTCCAACCCTTCCTTGGGGCTCGGATGGAGCAGTTGTAGCGCAGGAACCGACAGCCCCCGCCCTGGGAGACAGGAAGCATCAGTTTCCAACAGGAAGCTGGGCCCTTCCCCCACCGCCCCATTGGTTCCCTGTTCTCTATTCTCCTGTGTGTTCTGACATAGCCCAGCATAGCCAGCCTGGTGGTGCCTTGCGAGGTGACAGCCATAAACTGCATAAGGAAGACACTAAGTAAAGGAAGATGCAAGAGCTCTGAGCTTGGAATCAGGCACCCCTGGGCAAATGTACCTCCACTCTTTACTAACTCTGGGACCAGCCTGAGCCTCAGTTTCCCCTTCTGGAAAATAGAGGTTAAACTGCACAGAGCGGTGTTAATGAAATGAAATAGTACACACAGGAGCTTAGGGCTGAGAGTCTCACCTCACTGTCCTGGCTGCCCCTCGCCTCCAGACCCACGAGATGCCCCTAGCAACCTCACAGCTGCAGTAACAGAATATGTCTCCAGTCACTGCCAGTGTCCCTTGAGGGATCAAAAACCGCTCCTGGTTGAGAACCCCTGGCTGAGGGCAAGGCTCGATACATTGTAAGCTCTCCAAAAATTATAGCTGTTGGGGCAGCTGGTGGCAGAGTGGTTAAGGAGCTGGATACCACATGGCTGACTGCCCAGCTCAAGTCCTAGACCCAGTGATGTGAAAAACATGCCACGGGGGGACAGCAGGTGATGCAGTGGTTAAGGGCGCTGGACTCCCACATAGCTGACTACGGTTCAAGTCCTGGACCTGGTGGCTTCTTTCTCACTTTCCCTCTCTCTCTTTCATCAAATTAAAATAATTAAAGTAAAATAAAATAATTCTTTAACAAAAAAAAAAAAAAAACAAGAAAAACCACCACCCACCCCCGCCGAGGCCAGCAGGTGGCATGGTGGTAGAAAAACCCCCACCCACCCCCGCCGAGGCCAGCAGGTGGCATGGTGGTAAAGGTGCTAGACACTCCCACATGGCTGACCATGGTTCAAGTCCTGGACCTGGTAGCTTGCTTTCTAAAAAAAAGAAAGAAAGAAAGAAAAGAAAAACATGCCAGGTGCACGTGCATGCATGCCCAAAATCCCAAGAGGAGAAAAGAGAAGAGAGTGTGGCATGGCCACCTCCACTCTCTCTGTCTCTCTCCTGCAAGTACCAATGTCCTATACAAACAAACTGATATTAAAAAAAAAGATAGCTTTTTTTAGGAGTCTTTTTATGCATACTGAGCTTAGGGCTAGGTCCAGAAACTCTTTAAAAAACAGCAACTTAAACAGTGGCTTAATGCTGTCTGGCCTCTTAACTGATTATACCTAGAGGCCTTCTGTGGGCCTTGTCTTCCTAGTTCCCTAGCTCTTGACTCCAGACACAAGCCTGGGCCCACACTCAGATTCATGCGATCTCCTGCCACTCTCCTATCAGCTTTCTTCCTTGCTTTTAGGGCCTAAACTCCTAAACTCCTCACTACCATTCGGTATTATCATTGCTGTCTCCAGGGGACAGCCGTTTGCTCCCATGACAGGAGCCATGGAGGAAGGGGACCACTGGGTGGTCCCACGTGAGCCATCACCTGGATCTCATTAAATCTCACAACACTTCTATGGAAGGCACTCAAAGCTGCCCACCTAAGACAGGAGGAAACAGAGCTAAGACACATGCCCGAGGCCTTGGAGCTGCTGCGGGAGAGGCAGGACCCAGGGCCAGACAACCTGGTCCCAGATCTTGGGAAGTTCATGCTCTATAGCCCCTGCCTTCCAGCCCCACCAAACTGTGCCCTGAGCTCATCCCTTCCAGGAAGCCCTCCCCATGAACCTGGTGCCCTTTCTCGCTGGTCCTCCCTGGATGGCGTACCCTGGGCCTCTCTGCCCCAACCAGGCTGTAGGCAGCCCTCCCTTCCCTCTCCTGCCTGCACCCTGGGGCCCCGCTCACCTCATAGTCCACCCCGACGCGGTTCAGGGCGATGTTGATGGTGAAGGTGGAGGCGTCGTGGTGCGGCATCAGTGAGGGCTGCTCATCTGGCTTGTAGCGGACAACAAAGGCCAGGTCGAACTGGGCCTACCCCGAGGCAGCAGGACAACAGAGCCAGCATCAGCCAAAACAGGCCACAAAGGCACAGCAGGGCCCGCGCTCCCCAACACCGAGAGCACATGGGGTCCTGTTCCCCTCCCCAGGTCTCCCCAGACATGCTGGACGTGCCATGTGCCTGCGATCCTGGTGGGCTGAGGCTGGGATGGGTTACAGAGTAAAGGTGCTGTCAGGGTGCCTCTCTCTGTCTTATAGAGAAAGTAAATTAACTTCGAAAAGGGGGCTGGCAGGTGGTGTGGCGGTTAAAGCGCTGACCTTCCGCATGGCTGACTACAGTTCAAGTCACAGACCTGGTGGCTTGCTTTCTCATTTTCCCTCTCTCTCTCTCTGGTCAAATTGAGAAAAATAACAATAATAACAAATAAAATTAAATAAATAAATAATTCTTTTTAAAAAAATGAGAAAGCACCAAAGGCCGGTGGGCAGGGTTGGAAGACCAGGTCCCTCATCTAATCTGCTAAATGCTGGCCCTAGAAGGGCAAGTTTGTTCACAGCTGTGTCCTCCAGCAACCAGAACAGTGCCTGGCACAGAAAGAGTTCTCAGTAAAAATGTAAAGAGAGGAGCCAGCAGAGGGCATGTTGTTAAGGAGCTGGATCCCGCATGGCTGACGGAGCAGTTCGAGTCCCAGACCAGTGGCTTGAAAAGCATGCTAGATACTTGTGTGTGTGTGCCCAGAATTCTGAGGAGAGTGAAGAAGGGATTGCATGTGCCCCCACCCAAGGGAGAGTGATTTCTCACTTTCCCTCCCTCTCTCTCTGATGAGTGTGAGCCCTATAGCAAAAATCTAAAAAAACAAAAGAAGTGGAGAGACAGAGAAGAGTGGAGGGAAGAGGAGAAAAGGGAGGGAGGAAAACCCGCACCCAATCCTCCCGATACTTTCAGGCAACTATCTAGGCTGGTGGTTGCTTGAGGGCAGGGTCGGGTGCACCTAGAGCGGGTGTCTGGAGAAAGCACGGAATGAAAAGTGATTGAGTAAGCAAGGAAGTCAGAAAGCAGAAGTGGCAGTCCACAGACAGGCCAGCAGGGGCTAGAGAGAAACCAAGGGGAGGGAGGAGCCTCGGGCCAGCCAATTGGGCGGCTTCCTCGGTGGGCTGCTGTGGGAGCTCCTGAGACAGGGTTTAATCCCATGGAAGGATTTGAAAGATAGGTCAGAGGCCAGAGGCAGAGTAGTGTCTCCAGATCCTAGAGGCTCCAGAGGCCCCGCCTGATGGGACCAAATACCCTTATTCCCACCTGGGGACCAACTATCCAGGCCTCTCCCCAAGCTGAGAGTGCTCCTCCTCTCCTCCCCTCCCCTCCCAGCCATGCCCCTTGCCCTCTTCCTGGCTGCGTCCCAGGCAGGCGCACCCTGGTATAGTAGCCGGGGTAGAGCTTCTCCGTCATGGGGGCAATGTACTCCACCAGGAACTTGTGCCACTCCCGCTCGAAGCTGATTTGGTTCATGTGGATGTCAATGGTGGGCACGTTTTCGTAGCCACCCTGGATGCGGTTGTCCTGTAAGAGACCAAGGAGTGTGGTCGGCAGCATGCTAAGCTAGCTCCCCAGGCTCCCCTGCCCTGGGGATAGGCTGTCTAGTCCCCTCCCCTTGACTTGGGAATGTCATGGAACTAGGTTTCATTATCTGGCAGAGAAGGAGTTTTGCAGCTGTAGTTAACATCCCTAATCAGTTGACTCTGCGTCAATTCAGGAAGGTTATCCTGGCAGGCCTGACCTAGGGGGTGAGAGCTTACAGGAGGATCTTGCAGAGGCTCTGTCTCCTGCTCACTTGAGGTCTGTCAAGGCAGGTCAATGACCACGTGAGTACGGAACAGGATCCTAGGCCTCAATGAGGCTCCAGTCCCAGCCGACGCCTCAAGTGCAGCCTTGTCAGATCCCGAGCAAAGGACCTAGCTAGGCTGGGCCTGGGATCCTGACTCAGAAGCCAGGAGATACTACCGGAGTGTCGTTTTAAGCCGCTAAGCTTCTGGTAATTTGCTACAGAGTGCCGAAAATTAATACAGAGGGCTACATGAGCTCAGGTACTACAGGCCAGAGGCTGCTCTCTGGCTCTCTCCGGTGAGCACACACGCCTTCTGGGAATAACTGAAAAATGAGTGCCTGGGACCAGCAGATGGTACAAGAGTTATGTCGCTGGACTCCCACATAGTCAACCGTGGTTCAAGTCTCAGACCCAGCAGCTTAAAAACCTCACACTGTGCATGTGTGCATACCCAAGATCCCGAGAGGAGAATGGAGGAGAAGGAATTGTGGTGTGGCCATCCCCCATGAGGGTTGATTTCCCGCTTTCTGTCTCTCTGTGTCTCTCCGGTGAGCACATGTGCCCTATAGCAAAAATTGCTCTAAAAAAAATTTAAACATACGGGTGCCCAAGCGTGCCAAGGTGACTGTGGGTATGGAGCTGCTCCCCAAGAAAAGCACAAATTCTCACCTCCACGGCACCACTTCCTCCTGTCCGACTCGGACCTGACAGCACTTCCTACCTGACACCTGCTCATTCCTCCCAGCTCCACACGCACGTCAGGAAGGCAGCTGGGCCAGTCTAGTAACAACTCAGGAACTGAAGACCTAGCAGCTCGCTGTTACGGCAGCTCAAAGTCAGTGGCAATGGTGGCTTGGGGACTGACATTCATCTCCAGCTCCAGCTTCTCAGTCCCTCCACTCCTGCCTGCCTGCCTACAGGCATCCCTGCTAGCACCCCCACATTAAGAGTCCCAGGGAGGGTGGTCAGCTGGCCAGGAGAGGAGCCCGGAGGCAGGCCTGGGTGGGGAGGCATGGGCATATACTGCATCACCTCACTGTAGCCACAGCCCGGGTGACTGGGGCCCCCACCTTGTTATCGCCCAGAGACCACTGGCCAAAGTGCTCCATCTCCTCCACCAGCTCGTCGCAGGCCGCGTCCGTGAAGATGGGGAACCAGTAGACATCCGGGCAAGGCTGGAGAGGGTGGGGACTTGGTCATGAGGGTCCAAAGTGGCTCCACCACAGCCTTCCCCTGCTGCAGATTCCGAGTGGTCTATGCCCCACCATGCAACCCAGTTTGTGAGCCCTGTGGGTGTCCCCAAGGGTGAGGGGCTCTGTAAGGCAGGACAGGCTGAATGAGCTGCTGAAGGGAGAAGGGGGCGGAGCTCAGAGCCAGACCCCCACTGAGGCCCCAGGACTACCAGCACCAGGACTGGGGCAGGAAGGTGCACATCCAGGGAGCAGAGGCCCGCAGGCCCCAAGGCAGGTGAACAGCAGAGAGGAGCACCCCCTCCTCACTCCTGGCCCTAGGGCCGTGTCCACAGCAGAGGTCACACTCTGGGACATTTTCCTCTTTCCTGCCTGGGCCGGGGAGGAGGCCTAAGACCCCCAAGGCCCTTGCAGGTTCAGCCAGAAAGTGCCACAGAGGAAGGGGCTGTCCTGCTGCCCACTTCCCACAGAGCAGATGGAAGGCCCCTTCTCCACCTCCAAGGGGCAGCCACCTCTGTTCCTCTGCCCCCACCCCTGGTTGTTCCCAGAGAGCACCTGCTCCCTTACCGTTTCCACCAGCTTCCCCGCCAGGGCCTTGGTGTAGTTCTCATGGATGTACTTCTCCTTCCAGTCCTGTGGAGAGCGGCAAACGGGCTGGGGTTCTTGGGGCCTGGCCTGAGCCACAGCCTCACTATTTGTTCAGGTCCACAGGATGCTCCAAGTGGGGGCTCCTCCCCGTAGGCCCCTCAAACTCAGTGACCATGTACCTACCTGAGGATGGAAGGGCATGTACTTGTGCCTGCTGGGTGCACGCACATTGCCTGGGTGTGTGAGTGTGCCCACAGGAGCTGTCTGCACGCGGTACGTACATGTGTGCGCCCGCATGCACATGTCTGTGTGCTGATATGTGCACATGCCCAGGGCAGCTGCAAGCCCCCACAAGGTCAAAACGCTCTCCCCTTCCGATCATCATGATATCCTCTGGGGTGCGACAGCAGGGAGGGCACACTCATCAGATAGCTGAGGCCCCAAGATGGAGAGGCTCAACGAAGTGCAATTGATGGCAGACCTGGGCTGCAAATGCAGACCTCCGACTTCTGGTCCCTCCTCCACTAGATGGCACTGCCTCCCCTCCCCACCCAATCCTGCCCTACAAGCCCCCTGGGGTGCAGGGAGGGAGGTGCCCCGCAGGGTCCCAGTTGTTGTGAAGCTCTGAGAGGCAGACACCCCAGGCCACAGGATCTTGAGGGTCCCTTCTACTTGCAGCTCCCAATTGCCCACGAGGCCCTCACCTCAGGGTTGCTGAACACCTCCCAGAGGTCATTGTGGAGGTGGGTGGTCTGGTAGCTGTCCAGGGAGAGCAGGTGGCCAAAGGTGTGTCGGTTGGTCAGGAACATGAACGCATCCTGGGGAGAGCAGGCCCGATGGAAGAGGCTCTCCCTCCAGCCCCCTGCCCTGCACGCTCCAGAGAGGTACTCTTCCACCCTCAAGTTTACCAGATTAGGGATCAAGCACAGGCCGGTCCTGTGACCTCAGCACCTGGCCCGGGCCTGACACTGGGGAAGGCAACTGGGAGGACTAAACTGAGGCTGAAAGAACAAACGCATAAGAGAAAAGGGCCACATTCCAATCCTGAACTTTGGGTGATGGGGGAAAAGCTCACCACACTGTCACGGTAACAAAACAAAACAAAACCAAAAAAAGAAAAGAAACCCATGGGACTGGTCCCATAGTACAGTGGATAAATACAGTTCAAATCCCAGCCCTGGTAGCCTGAAAAACACATCAGGCAGAGGCTTGTGCATGCCCAAAATCTGATGGGATAGAGAAAAGAAGGAAGAAGATTATAGCATGACCATGCATCATTGGGGAACATTCTCTCCTCCCCCACCCCCCACTAACACCCTTTGAAAATAAAAAATAAATAAATAAAATTATACGGGCCAGCCCATGGCTAGTCATAAGGTGTTAGATCTCATGTGGCTGACCACATGGTTCAAAGCCTGGCCCCAGTGGCCGGAAAAACACACCAGGCACAGATACATGCCCAAAATCTTGAAAAGGAATGAGAACTAGAGAAGAGATTACAGCATAGCCATTTCCTGTCTCTATCTTGTATCCCTCTCTGTGTTTCTCTGGCAAGCACACACGCCCTTGGCAAATTTTTTAAGAAGTCAAAAAAACAGGGAACCAGCAGTTAGCATAATGGCTATGTCGCTGGACTCCCACATAGTCAACCGCGGTTCAAGTCCCGGACCCGGTGGCTTAAAACTCACGCCAGGCATGTGTGCGTGCATGCCCAAGATCCCGAGAGGAGAATGGAGGAGAAGGGATTGCGGCATGACCATTCCCCCTGGGGGGGTGATTTCTCGCTTTCTGTCTCTATGTCTCTGTCTATCTGGAGAGTGCACGCGCCCTATAGCGAAAACCTCTCCAAAAAAAATAAAAGAAGTCAATAAAACACAGGGTGAGATGAAGCGACAGGGTGAGGTGTCTTTTGACACATTACTCGGAGAATATTTAGGTGGAAAGTTCACTTTTCTTGAGACTGTGTCAAAAATACCAGTAAGAGGAACCAGCAGTTAGCATAATGGCTATGTCGCTGGACTCCCATGTAGTCAACCGTGATTCGTGTCCTGGACCCGGTGGCTTAAACTCATGCCGGGCGCGTGTGTGTGTGCCCAAGATCCCGAGAGGAGAATGGAGGAGAAGGGATTGCGGCATGACCATTCCCCCTGGGGGGGTGATTTCTCGCTTTCTGTCTCTATGTCTCTGTCTATCTGGAGAGTGCACGCGCCCTATAGCGAAAACCTCTCCAAAAAAACCCAAAAAACAGAAAACAAAAATGCCAGTAAGATAGATGGTATGAAAGCCAAGTCTGCTAAAATGGTCCCACAGACCTCTGGGGGCCAGCACACATGCCCAATGCTCCCCAAGTCTCCACCAGGCCCTGATGGCCTCAGAGCTGCCTTGCTGGCATCTCAGAAGCTCCCAGGCCCATGGTGACAAGGTAACTCACTAAGGGTCAGAGTGGAAGGCCTTCCTTCCCTGTCACCAGGGCTCCTCTGGCCGCCCAGGCCCCGGCTCACCTGCTGCCGGAGGTTGGCGCAGAAGGCCATGTCGGGGTCCAGCTTGCGGTGGTGGAACAGGTCTGTGGTCTGCAGCTCGGTCCGCAGGGCACTCCCCTTGATCAAGTAGATGTTGGAGATATAGGGTACGTTCCAGACGCCGCTGGGGGGAGAGGGGAAGGCAGAGGGAGCGTAATTTTGTGACTTGTACCAAAGCATGGAGAGCAGCCAATCTGAAAACATGTGATTAAAACATGTGTCCTTACATGTATCTACAAGCCACATATTTTAATCACACATTTTCAAATTAACTACTCTCCACACCAAAGTCTTCAAAGTCTATGTTTGTTTGTTTGTTTGTTTGTTTTGTCAGAGATGTGTACACTCACCAGTGAGGGACAGAGAGACATGAAGACAAAGAGAAACAGGCTGCTGGTGAGGGGGCTCGCGCTAGGGGTCTGGGCCCAGGAAGAAGAGGAGGTCCTAGGCTAGAAGGGCATAATCACGCTGATTCGACTGCCCTCCCCTGGGCACATGACCAGGAGGGTGGTCAGGAAGTCCTTCTGTGTGTGTGATTGCAGTCTGCCTCGCTCTGGGTGCAGCAGGGATTTGACGGCAAGGACAGGAGCAGGGAAGGGAAGCGCTCGTGCAGGAGGAAGCCAGATGGAGGTGCCCCGACCCCGCAGGCACTCACACTCGCCGGCCCTGCACGATGTCCACGTAGTCCTCGGAGCGGGCATAGTAGCCATCTGCACTCAGTGCCCCCCAGAAGTTTGACCACAGCCTCCCCTGACGGGTCAGCAGCGGGGCGATGACATTCCTGAGGAGGGGAGCACCTCAGTAGAGTCCTGCTGCCCCCTGGGAAGGGTGGGGCAGGCCTAAGTGGATAGGGACATGGAGGGGGATGTGGAAGGGGAGGCTTCTGTCTGCACACAGAGACCTCAAGCACCTTACTGGGGCATGGGGAAGGTTGGGCCTAGATCAGAGTTTGGTTCATCTGATACCTGCTCCCTCCCAGGGACAGCCCGGAACAGACTGGGGAGGGTGCTATTCAGACCCTGGGGTGGATTCCATAGCCCAGGGAGCAGAGAGGCTGAAGGGGAGGAAGTGGGGGCTCCCCCCGGGCCTGCCCACCACCTCACTTGTTCTGCTCGATCAGCAGCCGCAGGCTGTCGGGCTCGGTCAGGGCCACGTCAGCGTCCACACTGAAGTAGTAGGTGCAGCTGCGGTCCTGCCGGCACAGGTCTCTGCGGGGAAGCACAGGGTCAGCGGGCGGCTTCGATTCCAAGCTTCCTGGGTGCTGCCCACATCTGTGACCACAGAGGGCCTGGCTTCACCACATACCAGCCCAAGAGTCCCTCCTGACTCAAAGGCCCAAACGCTGGACTCCCTGCACCTTGAGACAAATGCCCAGAGCTTGGCAAGGGACAATGAGTGCCCTGAAACCCTGATGATGGGGAAGGCACAGCCCAGCTGCCTGGGGGTAGGGAATGGATCTTGGTGTGCGGTTGTTTTGGAGCATAATTTTGTAACTTGGACCAAAAGTCTTCAAAATTTCTTTGTTTGTTTTGCCAGAGATATGTACACTCACCAGTGAGAGGCAGCGAGAGAGAGGCAGAGGGAGAGAGAGCATACCTCCCATGAGCTACAGTCACGCCGCTATCCCTTCTCTTCCACCTCTCCATCGTGTTGAGATTTTGGGCATGCACGCACATGCACCCCGGGTGTTTTTCAAGCCCTCCAATGAAATTCAACTGTGGCTGGCCATGTGAGATATAACTTTCTTAACCGCTAGGCCACAAGGCCAGCGCTGTTCTTTTGTTTATCTAGTCCAGGGCTCAGCAAACTATAGTCTATGATCCAAATAATCCCACTGCCTGGTTTTATATAGCTGGTAAGCTAAGAATGGTTTTATGTTTTTGTTTTAATTTTGCCAGAGGAGGCATGTGCTCACAAGAGAGACAGTGAGATGACAAGAGAGGGAAAGGAACAAAGCACGCCCCATGGGGTGACATGGTCACACTGCAATCCTTTCTCCTCCATCTCGCAATCCTGCTGGGACTTTGAGGGCACACACATGCACTCTGTATGTTTTATTTTATTTTATTTTTTTTTGAGAGGTTTTTGCTATAAGGCGCGTGCGCTCGCGAGGCAGACAGAGAGAGACAGAAATCACCCCCCAGGGGGGATGGTCACGCCACAATCCCTTCTCCTCCATTCTCCTCTTGGGATCTTGGGCATGCACGCACATGCGCCCGGCGCGAGTTTTAAGCCACCGGGTCCAGGACTCAAACCGTGGTCAACTACGTGGGAGTCCAGCGACATAGCCATTACACCATCTGCTGGTCCCCCCAGTATGTTTTTAAGCAGCCAAGTCCAGGACTCAAACTGTGCAGTTGGCCACATGGGATCCAGCACCTTTAACCAACTGGCCACCGCCTGGCCAGGTTTTATGTTTTTAAATAGCAGGGAGAAAATGAAAAGTGTAGCTTGTGACAACGGTATGGAAGTCAAATGTCAGCAGCCATCATACAGTTCTGCCAGCACATATAGCCATACTCATTCACTTACGTATCACCCGTGGCCACTTTCAAGCAGAAGGAGCCTGCAGAGCCGACCTGCAAGGATTTACCATCCAGTCCTTTATAGGAGTTTGCCAGCCTCTGATCTGGCCTAATTCCTCTGCAGTTAACACGAATTACTTGCTTCTTTGTCTATTTAATCATGAACGGAAAACACAGGTTTCTCTCCCCGTCACCGTTTGTGTACTTCTGGCCCTCCGTCCTTCCTCTTCCCCGGATTTGCTTCCTGAACACAAACGACCCTGCTCAGTCCTGCCTGGGAGCATTTAGGCCGGCAGAGCAGAGACTATTTCCCCTTTGACAGAGAGGGCAGGAACTTCCTGGAGACCACAGCACCTTCTGAACTCCTGTCACCACTGTCAGTGAAGATAACTGTGGCCCGCCACTCACGCGCCCATGTTCCTGGCGTCCGCAGTTGCAACCCGCACTTCAGGGCCCACGAGCTTCACCGACTGGTACTCGCTGCCATGCTCCGCCAGGAACCGCTCCACCTGCGCCTTGTGGTGTTGCTCCTGGGGAGGGGGATGGGGTGGGGGAGAGGTGAGGACACAGCTGCACCCCAGGGACCACAGCACCTTCTGCTGCAGCCACCCCGGCACGGGCCTGGCCACTGCTTTCCCATCTCCGCCTCTGCCGTGCCAAGCCCTCTGCCCAAAATGCCCTTCCTGACCATCTTTTGACTATTCTCCTCCCCCAACCGGGGCCGACCCCACAAGCCTCATTAGTGCTCCTGTCGTCGGGACAGTCCTCATCCCACCCCTCGGCCCACATCCAGAGATTGATTCTGCAGGTGGATCTAGCCTAGGGATCTGCTTTGTTACAAACATGCCAGGTGATCCTTGGCCGCACTTTGAGAAGTAACAGTCCTCTGGCACATGGAAGTGGAAAGGGCAGGGTCTTTAGAACCCAGTCCAGGATGTGGACCAGTCCCGCTCTGCTATGCTGAGCGATGTGACCCTGGACAAGTCATGTTACTTTTTCTGTGTTTTTTTTTTTTTTTTTTTAAAGAGAGTTTTGCAATAGAGCACGTGCACTTGCTGAAGAGAAAGAAAGCAAGAAATCGCCCTTCCCAGGGGAGAATGGCCACGCTGAAATCTCTTCTCCTTCATTCATCTCTTTAGGATGTGGGGCACACACGTATACGTGCCCAGCACGAGTTTCAGGCTGCCAGATCTGGGACTCAAACTGTGGTCGACCATGTTGGAATCCAGTGCCTTAACCACTATACCACCTGCTGGTCCCAGTCACTTCACCTGTCTACGCCTCAGTTTTCTCCCTTGTGAAATGGGAGGACAACTGTGCCTCCTTCACGGCCAAGGTAAGCCCTGTGTGCGTCAGATAGAGAATACAACAAGTCCTCAAAGACCGCCTGTGGCAGTTTTTTTTTAAAGGTTCTGGCCTTAGGGCATGCGCACTTTTGGGGAGGGGGGTAGAGACAGAGACAGTGAGTGGGAGTAGAAATCATTCCCCCCAGGGGGACGGCCATGTCAATTTCTTCTCCTCCACTTTTCTCCCAGGATCTTGGGCCCACAGGCACACACACTGAGCATGAATTTTAAGTCACCGGGTCCAAGACTTGAACTGCAGTCAACTATGTGGGAGTCCAGCAATGTAACCACTATGTCATCTGCTGGCCTCAGCAGTTCTTTCTAAACAATGTCACAGTTCATGGAGGTGCCCGTTGGTGTCTACAGGGCAGCCATGAACCTCTCAAGGGCAGGGCCCACATCCCCCATTTCCAGGTAACACTACATAGCCAAATCGATGTCTATAATGCAGGCAGGGATTTACAGTGTATTGGCATCCCCTTAGGAAAACTGGTGTAGGCAAGGTCAAGCTGAGCTGGTGGGGGAGCCTTATCAGGCTAAGAAGCAGAGGTAGAAAGAGGGGGCTGGGCATGCTGAATCCAGGCCTATTCCCCACAAATCAGCAGGCCTCCAGACCTTCCCCAACTCCCCAGAAGGCACTCAAGAAATGGAAATCAAATTAGGCAGGATTAATGGGGGCAGGGATAGAAATGAAAATGACAAAAGCACCTACTATGTGCTTCCTTCCCATGCACTGGGCACCCGTCTATGCACTTCGTGCCTCATCCTTATTTAATCCTTGCAGCAGTTCTATGGTTGGCACTGTTACTATGCCTAATTCTTTTTTTTTTTTGGAGAGGTTTTTGCTATAGGGCGCGTGTGCTTGTCAGACAGACAGAGAGACAGAGAGACAGAGAGACACAAAGCAAGAAATCACCCCCCCTGGGGGATGGCCACGCTGCAATCCCTTCTCCTTCATTCTCCTCTCGGGATCTTGGGCACGCACGCACACGCGCCCCGCGTGAGTTTAAGCCACCGGGTTCAGGACTTGAACCGCAGTCGACTACGTGGCAGTCCAGCGACATAGCCATTACGCTAACTGCTGGTCCCACTATACCTATTTTATAGGCGGGAACACTGAAGCACAGAGAGGTTGAGTGATGTCCCCAAACTCAGCCCATAAAAGCAGTGGCATTGGGATTCAAACCTAGCCTGTCCAACTCTAGAATCAACCCAGTGATGTGGGGACACAGCCCAGTGTCCATTTCCACTCGTTCCAGATAAGCCTCAATCAATAAATACTCAGTGGTCTCAGCCACCTTAGGAAGCTGGGCCCTTTAAAAAATTTTGTTTTAAGTTTATTGATCATTTCTTCTACAAAAGAGAAAGTGAAAGACAGAACCCTCCACAGGGTCCTGATGCTCCAATCCACCCATAGATTCAGCCAGCCCCAGAGCACGAACACCTGCCCAGTGTCCTCTGGACTTGAACTGAGAACCTTCCCACATGGGATTGCCTTGCAGAGCATCGCATTTTACCACTGTGCCACTGTCTGGCCCCGAGGCTGGGCCGTTCATCCAAGCTGCGTGATGAGCCCACTGAGTGTCTGCTACTCACGTGGTTGTGGATGAAAAGCCGCATTCGTTTCTGGGGGTAGCGGAGGCGTCGGAGCCGCTGGAAGAACAGGGACAGGAAGGGCGTGGGCTGCTCGATGAACACGCCGACCAGGACTATGGGCAGAGCTTCGTCCTACATGGGGGAGGGAAGCACCAGAGTCTAGCATCTGTCACTGCGCCTTCCCTGAGCCCCTGGTGTGGCCCGCGGAGCCAGAGGCAGAAGGGGGCACAAAGACTTAGCAGGAAAGGTGCCTGGGACAGCGAGCTCCAGCCGGCATGAGAGGTGGGGGCTGGAGGGAGACGGGGGTGCTGGAGGGAGAGGGGGGGCTGGAGGGAGAGGCGGGAGGGTGCCCCAGTGAGGAGCAGGGGCCTGCTCAGGGCCTCACCCCAATGCCCTTGAGGCTGCCCAGGCCCTCGTCGCACACGGCACAGCCTGTCTCAAAGGTCCAGAAGCGTGGGATGTAGTTGCCCAGGTAGTTTAGCTGTATCTGGGGAGAAAACGCGGGTCCGAGAGGAGCAGGGCCAGTCTAGCCCCTGCAGCCATAGACTCACAGTTCCCCACAGTCACAGATGCATAGCTCCCAGGCCCCTGGGGTCTCGAACAACCCAGCTCCCTCCTGCCCTCTGAGCAGGTCTGGGAGAGAATGTTCCATCCCCAGGAGACCGAGACCATGGCTATCCCACTTCACCTCGGATCTTCGGGGAGCTGGAATGCAGATTCCTGGCCCCATACACCACCCCCAGAGCCTCCAATTGAGCAGACCTCGGGTGAAGCCAGGAAATCTGCATTTTTTACATGCTCTGCTTTGTCTCCTGTCTAGATGATTCCAGTGCACGTGGCTGAGGACCACTCTGGGAGAAATAAAGTTGAGCCACAGGCCAGTCTCCTAGGGGATAATTATGTCTGCCCTGCCCCCAGCCATCTGTACCCCAGCCCCTCCACTGTGCTGGGAGTGCAGGAACCACCTGACTGATCATGACTGCCCATGCCTTATTCTCTCTTGCAAATAGTCAACAATCATTGAGTGAGTAAACAGCCCTGCCTTGGGTGCCAGAGTATGAATGACTCTGGAAGCCCTGTCTAGGCCTGGATGGGGACAGTAGCCCCCGTGTGTCCTGTGGTCCAACAGGAAAGGACAGAGCACCACTGAGCACCATACTGAGCTTAGATGGGAAAGCAGAGGCTCTGAGCTCATGGCAGGACTCAGGCAGGTGGCCCTCATCCCAGCAGGGTCACAGTGAGAGAACGGGGGCTCTGGCCTCCTCCCATGCTCCCCAGGGGCTGGGCCCCTCCCTACCTTGGTGGGCCCGTTGCCATGGATCAGGACCGGGAGGGTGTCATAGGCCAGGTTCCGCGCTCTCACGTGGCCCATTTCAAACTTGAGCACAACCTCATCTGCAGGTCAGAAAGCACGGCCCCACCTAGCTTCAGATCCGGAGGTCACACCTGGGGGCTGACCAGCTGGGCTGGAATCCCAGCTTTGCAGCACACAGGGTATAGAGCCCCGGGCCAGTCCCTTCCCCTCTCAGAACCTCAGCTTCCTCATCTGTGAAATGGGGATACTCCCTTCTTCATGGGGTGAATGGAGGATCCATCTGACACCGCCTGGCACATGGTGAGCACAGAATCCACGCAACTTAAACTCCATGTGATTCTGATGAGGGCCGGAGCAGCATGGGCAAGGACCCAAGATCCAAAAGGCCCAGCTCCAGCTCCAGACAGCTCAGAGGGTGCCTTCTCTGAGCGCACACAGCAGCACCTAGGATGTGCAGTGGTGCTGGGAGGACCGGGCGGGCGAGGACAGATCCCATCCCTGCGAGGAGGGCCCCAGCAGCAGTTCCGAACACCAAAGCTCTGACCCTAATGGAGTAGCGTAGGATAACGGGCCGGGAGCTGCCCATAGCATAATCGGCATAAACAACGTACACAGCGCCTTTTCCTCCCAGGTCTGAGGTGCTGGGCAGGGAGGCCTTTTGTGGGGAGTGACAGAGGTGGGGAAGAAGAGCCCTCTGTGCACACTCTGGACTACCCAAGAAGTGATCTGGCTGGTGAAGCCCAGAACCACAGGCAGAGGGGGTGACGTCTTTGCATTTTCCTGAAAGGAGCCATAGGTTTCATCAAATTCTCAAAGGGGTTCCTTTACCCCATAAAATCACTGATTAGTGATCTGGTTCACTTCCTTTATTTCTCTTTTTTTTTTTTTTTTAAAGAGGTTTTTACCTGGGAACATGTGTGTTCACCAGAGAGAGACAGAGTCAGTGAGAGGAAAAGTGAGAAATCACCCCCCAGGGTGGATGGCCACATCATAATCCCTTCTCCATTCTCCTCTTAGATCTTGGGCACACAAGCACATATGTCCGGCATGATTTTCAAGCTACTGGGTCCAGGACTCGAACTGCAGTCAGCCATGTGGGAGTCCAGCAACATAACTGCCACGCCATTTGCTGGCCCCTCTTTTTCCTTTTGTTAATTTTCCTAAAGGCACGTGTACTTACTAGAGAAACAAGGGGGTTGGGGGAAGCACCCCAAAGGGGCGTAGTCAAGCCACTACCTCTTTTCCTCTATTTCTGTACACCACAGGGATTGGGGCATGCATACATGCATGCCTAGTATGTTTTTCAAGTGTCCAGGACTCAAACCACATGGTCAGTCATGTGAGATCTGGCTCTCTCAACCATTAGGCCATGAGGCTGGCCCAGTTCACTTCCCTTTTCTAAAGATATGAAAATTGAGGCACTATGGTGCTTGCGACTTGCTTGACGTCACCCAACAAGACCTGTGACAATGTCATCACCAGCTATGGATATGTGGCTCCAAGGACCAAGGGACTTTGTTTCTAAAGCTGTCCATCAAGTCCTGCCAGACCAGTCCCTAGCCTCAGGTCCCAAATCCTTCTCCTGGAAGGCTGGAGGATCAGGAAAGGAGGCGCAGGGGCTACCCCTAAGGACCTGCATGCCAGGAAGGCGTCTGGTACCTGCTGTGTGTGTCACCCAGCTCCCCACAGGCTGAACAGCAGCCCCTTTCCCTA